ATAGGTAACAGAAGAAACTTAACAAAATGACAATGATCAACGTTAATTAACAAAGGACTACTAGCATGCCAGCCCCAGACCTCAATATCACTGATTGAAAGATTATGTCTTCATCATATGAAATTCAAGCACAATCAAAGACTGTTAAATTAAAGTTAAATAAAGAAAAATAAATGTTTATTGCATTTTTTATACTGTTTCCACAAATAACAAACATTGATTTTTGTTTGAATCAATTTTTCAACCTAGCCATTTAAGGGGATATTAACTCTTGTAGTTAAATTTGTAGCTTGCAAAATAGAAGGCGACCTATACTTTTCAATCATACTTTTGAAAAACAGCATGGTAGAATATGTATTTCGGCAAATTATAGGTAAACTATATCCGAGATAATATATAGTAATGATCCTACTTAAAGAGTTTTCTTTTAATTTTTCTATTTTTCTGACCATCTAGTCTAAAACGAAAGTGCTCTTTACAGTGTTAGTTGTATTCAAAAAAAGTTGATGAATAAAATTCACCTAATTTAAATACACGTCTTTCAGATTTATGTCAGAGAATATACATGATTATCTTTACTAAGAGTTTCTTGAAAAAAATCTAAATAATAATATACTTATGAATGTGTATTTCATGGATTATGTTTAATGCTGAATGTCGTATAATCTTAGAAATAATAAAGAAATTTATTATGATCGTTTTTCTGAGTGTAAATTGTAGTTCATAAGGGTTTGTTGAATTTGTAGGTATTTCGGAAACAAATTGTTATTCGTAGTGTATTTCAAAAACCGTTTTATCTTTTACGTGAGAAAAAGTAAGGCAACAGTATCGATGATAAAATCTCATAAATCTATTTATAAGTGACAAATCTGGGTTATTGTTGCTCAGCCTTTAGTTTTTTATTTAGTGTTTTGTAGACTATTGGTTGTCTTTTCGTCGGTTCGGTTTTTTTTTTGTCATGATTTTGTCGGTCACTCTTTGACTGTTCTAAATTGAACGTGTGACCAAGATGAAATATACAATGTACTACATGTATATATAAAAGAAGATCAATTCACTTTACGATGTAAATAATCCCACTTTTGTATCTACACTAAAGCCTAATAAAGAAAAAGTAAAACACCAAAAATACCGAACTCCAAGGAAAATTCAAAACGGAAAGTCCTTTCACCATTGGCAAAATCAAAAGCTCAAACACATCAAACGAATGGAAAGCAACTGTCATATTCCTGACTTGGTACAGGCATTTTCTTATGTAGAAAATGGTGGATTAAATCTGGTTTTATAGCTAGCTAAACCTCTCACTTGTATGACAGTCGCATAAAATTCCATTATATTGACAACAATGTGTGAACAAAACAAACAGATATAATAGGTAAAAATGTCAAAATTGGAGTACAGCAGTCAACATTGTGTTATAATCTCCATCACTATAAGAACAAATAAACACAGTGATAAATACGTATTACATTGGATGACACAGCTTTTGAAAAACAATCCAAACAATCAAATTTAATATTACTTAAAAAATAAGTTGTTTTTTGAGGTTTTTGTTATTGATTTATCATTCTTTATAGCCAAAAATAAACACAACTGTAATTTATTGATATAATTGTCGGCCATAACATTAAAGTATATGAAACATTATATGATGAATGATTTCACCATAATTGTTTTTTCTATCATTGTGTATATTTCGAGGATCGAACTTGAATTGATCACTATGTACTTGATGTAATGTGTATTTATTGTTATTTACCCAAACACCCCCCCCCCACCCCCCCTTTCCAAGAAAATATCGAAAGGTAATAATAATAATATTATTATCAATATTATCATAATTATCGTTGAACAAAATAAATAAATAAAAAGAGATGTGTGTTTACGCGTAATTGAGATAGCAACATGAGGATGAAAACTCGAGAGGACATGCTTAAATTGGTCAATATACATTCTATAACAATAAACGTGTATTCAATTAATCTCTAAATCACATATGAATCTAAGAATTATGAATGAACTACCATAAACACAGAATGTGTCATTTAAAAAATATTCCGGCGGGTGATACTGGCTAATCAAAGCATGGTTTTAATATTAATGATTTTATCCGAAAACAATCGTTTTGCAGAAATTTCAGTCTATGAGTTGCTGCTCTCTTTATAACCTTTCATCCAACGGCGTATTGAAGTGAATGTAAGCAATAATAGACAACCGTACGGCCTTCAACTATGATAAAACCCTTACCATATAGTCGGCTATAAAAGGCCCCGACAGGAAAAAAATGAAACAGTTCAATTGAGAAAACAAACTATTATTGGTATATTCTAAATATATTTACGTTTGAAATATTGATAGATACTATTGCATTTTGTATTTTGATTTCAGGAACCTTTTTGTCCAACTTTGTTAGTAATGGGAATAGTACGTCCATTGTAATCTAAGACATTACTGCAAACATGTGGCTTTTAACCTAAACTTAGAATGTACCAACCATATAAAGGAATTGAACGAAATAGCATAATCAAGTACAGAACAATTCGTATTATGCAAGTAGCAATGATTGTTGGTTGTCTTGTATTTTTGTACGAGGAATATCGGTACCACGAGTAATTATATCATGGAAAAGAAAGGCCAAAGTCTAAAATTTCGCTTTGTACGTCTTCAAATAAAACATGTACTTTAAAAGTATTTCTCTCTTCTTATTTCAGACCTTTTTTTATTGTAAACTTTAAATAAATTGCATAGTGTGTGGAAATTGTCTTTGTTCGGTGTCTATATCATATTTGTTTTTCGTTATTGTTTTGAACATAAATTAGGCCGTTGCGTTTATAGTTTTAATGATCTTACATTTTGTCATGTCGGGGCTTTTCATAGCTTACTTAACGATATGAGTTTTGATGAAGACTGTACAGTAATCTATTGTTACTTAAATTTACGTCATGTGGTCACATTGGCAACCACAACACATCATATTTTCTTTAAGTATCTTTTGAATAGCCATTTGTTTCGATGAAAGCCTATTTAAAATTGGCTGAAACCATATTTGATTATTTAGTGACGTCCTCGTCGCTCAGTCTGTGACAGAAAGTTTTCACATTTACAAATATTCCACAACAGGTTATTTGTAAAATTATATCCATATTTATCACATTAAATAAGTCAAAGTTGGCCTGTCAACTATGAGGTTGTGAGTTCGAACTCGGATAGTGGCAAGATAACTTTTATGGATTAGGATTACCAGTTTTCTGCCAAAGGTCAGTGGTTCTCTCTGTGTACTTCGGTTTCTTCTACCAAAATAAAAAATTGACCGCAACGCTATAGCACATTTATCGTTACCATTTTTTAGCGATAATGGTTGTTCAAACAAGTTACAAGACAAGTGTTACTAGTGGAGCACGGTTTTAGTAAAGCTGTTTTGCCTGTATTATCTTGTGTAGCACGGTTTTGGTAAAGCTGTTTACCTGTACTGAATGTTTATCTTTTGTATAGTATTTAGTGAATTATTGTATGTTAATGGTCTTTATTTAAAAGACCATTCTGTTGTGTGTTCTTTGTTTATTTTCGATTTTTGATAGGCCTTTATTATCTCTTATTTATTCAAATCGTGCACACCTTCAGCAAAATTAGTCATTTCCATTTTTTACAAAGACTCTTAGATGTGCTACCACTATGTACTTAAACATTCATATTGACATTGCACATTGATATAAACTGTTAAGTATGATTACAACAAATATATATACTATGTGTCCCTGCACTACATCTTGCATGATTTGAATATCTTTGTTTGAGTACTGTCTATAACATGTCCATTTCTGTTATTATCGTTCTAACATAGCTGGTTCGGTATAAATATGATAGTTTACGCTGAATAAATTTAGATGTATTTTGACTGATATAATGTGATCTACCTATCAATGGATCAGTAGACTTTTATTAACGAAAGTTTGCAAGCTGTGCCATAGGTTTTAGAAATCACTTTGTCCAGATTTATGGCGGTGATGTATTGTTAATTAAGATGGGATTCTTTGTTGTCATGAACATTAATCATGGAATTAATTAAAAACGTGCTATCTTTCTAATAAATGTTGTACTGAATTTTAGATAAGTTTTAATTTTAAGTATTAAATAGCCTGCATAGTTTAACAGTAGATTTACATTCTCACCCTGTAAAATGATATCGTTTCTAATTGATAAATACTTGATATTCTACAAACATACCGAGATGGTTCATCTTTTCTAAAACGATCATTTGGGATAATCATTTTCTAAAGAATTTCGGCGTTCTTCTAGATAAGACAGAAAAGAGGAGGAACTAAGGTACCATGGAGACATCCAGAAAAGAGCTTAAGACGAACAATAGCAAAACATATACCGATTTAATGTTATTTTTATTAAGTAACGTTATCTATTCAACATTTTATGCACCAACATTTTGATACCAACACATGATAATTCTAAAAGAAGAACAAAAGAATATTGTTAAAAATACAATCACACTGTGATTGCCATCACTATTTAGAAGTTGCATACTTATACAAATACATAATAGCTTGTGTACTTTTCTCCTACAATATATATCAGTCTTTATTCCTTTTTTGGAGTGGGAGGAGGTGTGGTCAAAATATCTCTTGGTTTCCACGCCAAGAATTTACTTCATATGAACGAGTTTGTCATTATCCTTTAATTATTGTTAAAGCTGAAACTATAGTATTTCAAAGTTTTGCCATATCAGTTAATGTCCATTTAAACCGTAAAGGAGTTTTTTTTTGTGTGTCGTATGCAAACCTGGTGATTTGATTAAACAAATTGATACTCACGAAATAAACGAAATTACGAAATTTGTACACGTGGCGTTAAAGTGCATTTAATTTATGTAATGCTTGGTATGCACATATATCTTCTCCAAAATGTGATATATAATAAAAAAAATATCTATGAATCTGTATTATTCAAAGACACGAAAATGAAGGAAAAATAATAGCTATGACAGTATCAAGTTTAAACAAGGCTTTTATTCAACTCAATAAAACAAGATGTAATAAAAATACAAAAAAGAATATAATTATGTAAGTAGAAAATGTAAAGCTCAAGTCAACAACGAATATTAGTAATTGTACTCTATGAAGCAAATAAAACCCCGTTCTTTTTCAATGTTTAATTAAGCATTATTTTTATTTAGGGTTTAAAATAAACGCACGACGTGGTAACTATAAATAAGGGAGATAAGATATGAACGTGTCAACGATATGGACAAATATTTGTCTGGCATTTATCTTTATCAAATGCATGACTTTTTTGTATAATAACTTATGTTTCCTTTTTCGTAGGCAGTTATCACCAAGCTTTCTGTGATACATTAAAATGAATGCAGAAAAGTAGTGGCTATCCTTTTCATATTGCAACTTATGTAGACTGTAAGTTGTTGACACCCTCGCTGTTTGGTGTATGGAAGATATTTGTTTCATTCGCTATCGTACCTTATCTCCTCATTCTTATAGTATTAAACATCTAAATACATGTCGATTCCATGATCATTATCTTCAATTATTACCATTAAATCTAATAAAAAAACTCTGTATTGCTATATTAGAATATATGCCATTAGTATAAGTTTTTAAGTAAAATGAAATTACGTTCCAAATAAATTTGAACAGTGGCTATCCTTTTAATATTGCAAAAATGTTGATATATACACATATGTAGACTGTAAGTTGTTGACATCCTCGCCATTTGGTGTCTGGAGGATGTTTGTCTGTCTCATTTGCAATCGTACCATACATCCTTATTCTTATAGTATTAAACACCTATATACATGTATATTTCATGATCATTATATACATCAATTACCATTAAATTTAATAACAAAATTATCTGTATTGCTGTATTAGAATATAAGCATTTTGTATAAGTTTTTAAGTAAATGAAATTATGTTCGAATAAATTTGAATGCAGAATTTATATGCTACTTGTATTTTGCATGAGTTCAAGTCGTTGATGAGATATCATAATCATCTTCAGTTTTTTGTCCAATACAATGATCATATGTGTCTTCTCTCTCTTCGGTATTTCTTTTGTAACTTCCGGAATCGTAAACAGTATCCACGGCATGGTTATAAATATTATCCTTTGGTTCCTTATGACGATTATCTCCTGAATGATCGTAGGCTCCATCATTAGATAAATCATATTGATCATCATCGGCAATTTTGTTCCCAGTATCCCTAACAGGCTTTGCAAACTCATAATCTGTATGAGTATTAGAAAACGTTGTACTATTCCAATCTGTGGCCTTTGGATCCAATACCATATAACTGTCTGCTGTTGCAGTCTTGTTGTCTATATTCCCATTAAAACTTGTTTCAGCTGTAGGATCAACGATTGCATATTCATCGTCATTTGACATGTGATTGTCTGCAAATGTTTTATCCCGACGGACTGCATTTGTAGATCTCTGAACTCCTTCTTTATATACATAACCATCGGCTGCACTGACGTTGTTGTATTTGTGTTGAACATTATTGATCTGAGTACTTTCGTAACCATTGACACTAGTATTTGTACTTTCAAGTTGGTCATATGTGCCATCATTTTGCATATGGCTGGAATGACTCACTGTTTGTGGTAAAGCTATATCTTGACTCCCAATATAGTCTTTTCCGCCGAGATTGTTTTTCAATTTTTCTCTGGGTTTGCTCTTTAATGTATGCCTTTAATATACATTACGTATAGAACTATTTTTGTATTCTGGTTAAATAAATTATGTATGAATAAGTCCTGTCTATATTAAAAAACATGTAAAAAGGGTAAATTTTGCTATAGATATAATGGCTGTCCGTTAAACATGTTAAAGGTAAGAATTTGTATTGCGATAGATATCAGCAACTATTATTCGTACAAGAAAACTTCTCGCATATAAACTGAATTTCTATATAACAAAGAATCAAATATTACGTCGAACATTTCAAGAAGGAATATTTGACATCCTTAAACTACAATTTTATATAAACGTACCTTCTTAATAGAACAACAATAAAAATAACAGCACATGCTAGTAATAAACCACCAATAACCAAGCCTACAACTAAACCTGCAAAATGTAAAAAAAAAATCACATCACATGCTATATTGTGTAATAACTCAATGTTTAGTTTTTCTATGTCGTGTTTTGTGTACTGATGTATGTCTTTTCGTCATTTTTTTCTTTTTGTCAGTTTGTTTTCGACTCATGAATTTGAATATCCTTTTGGTGTCTTTCAACTCCTTTTATGAACACCGTAAACATATTTGTTTATTCACATCTTTTTGTTCTTTTACATTTAAATTGTTTCACACAATCAGAACCAATGACCAATGCCAATACAAACAAAAATGTAATGCACATTCTGCTATCCCTGATATACCTATCGGGTCATGAACTGTTTTTTTACTCAGTTTATAGATATAGTTGACATTGAGAATGAATAAACATGGTTTTCGTTACTCTTTTCATCTATTTAAAATTTAATCTCAAAATTGTTAAGTCCGATACATTTTATTATTTTGTGCTGTGGTACCAAATGCCAATACTAAAGCTTTAACTTTGATTCGTGTAAATGAAATATAGAATACGATTGGTATGCATTTACTATACATACATATTGTATCTTTTTTTGAAAGTCTTCCAGCCTTTAAATCCGAAATATAAAGCATGCATGAGCCTTTGGTTTAACGTTTCAAAGTTCTACAGAAACAACCAAAAAACGTATATGAAATAGTTTCCGCTTCACTAATAATCCATGGTGTTGATTTGGATGAAATGCATGATTAGTTATAACCGTTGATAAGGCATTATACAAAGGATGCGGAAGATACGAAAAGGGATAACAAAACTTACATGTCATCACCATGGCAAAAACTGACAAACGACGAAAAGAAAGCGAACAAACTACCAAACAAACCGGGATGATCTCAGTTACTGATGAAGGGAAATCAAATACTCATGTGGCACCCTTCATGTTGCTTACATAAGTACAGAGTCGGTGATGACAAATTCCAGAAAGGAAGACGGGATTGTTGTTGCAACAATTGGAACCTATTCATCGTCCTCTGAGAAACAGATATTCCATAACAGTCAACAACTCGGAATGGCGTCCGTAAAACTTTCAAAGGGATAACTTTAATTTTACCACTTGAAATCCTTGGTTCAGTAGATTCCTTGTAAACAAGCAGTAATAATCTTTCAAGGAAATGATGAGAAAAAACTCGTTCAAACTGCGTAATATCGAATAAACTCCAATTGCAGGCGCTGCTGGAATGTTGCTACGTAGACATGGAAAGTTTACAATTGGGAATCTAAAATCATCTCCTGTGTCGTAAAGTGTTGTGCTCAACCTACCTTTAATGTTTACTTTCAAATATAAGTCTAGAAATAAAGTCGATTGTGGTATCCTTTATTTCAATTTAAATTGGACCAATGTGTTAAACATAGTCAATCAACCATAAATTATTTAGTATGAGGACATCATTTATATAGCGAAATAGTAAGTTTAAGGATAATAGTAGCTTCCTTTACCAATCATAAGATGCTTCGGTATGAAGTCTGTCTCATATAAATAATGGGGAAAAAACTGAATTTGTAAATGTCTCTTTTCTAATCATCAGACATTATTAAATTTACAAACAATCTAAATGTACTCATTAAGTCTCAAATGGTTATAAACGACAGAATATAATGGTTTGAAATGGGAAAAAAAAGGTTACAAGGACACATACAAGACCGTAACCAAAAGGTACAATTAATTCAATTCCACCGTATACAAATATTTATAGAGAAATTAATTTTTGATTGGTTGAAACTATTTCACGTGACATTTGAAAAAAAGCCTTCATATTCCCCTCTGAACACCGGGACTACCTTGTGCGACGTTAACCGCGTTTAATTAATGTTAATTTTCGAATGTTTTTAAATTGGGATAGTATAGTCAATTATGTAACACATGTAATTATGACATAAAAACAAAACAGAAAAACCTTTGAACAGAACTGTTCCTGTCGTGTTTAGTTATTAAAGCAATAGGATATGAAAAATTGTATATAAATTAATATTTATTGTCAGGAAGTAAAAAAAAAGTATAAACAGCGCATACAATTCATTTCCTGTAGCTTAGAGAGATATGCCTATATGTTCATCCCCGATAAATCATATTTACCTCAGCCGATGTCATCGGGAAATATTAGTTTTTTTGGGTGAAAAAATTTTCATACCTTCATAACACAAGTGGAACACATGTTTACTCTGAAAATCTCAAAATACCAAACAGAAAACTAAAGCAAAAAGAAAAAGAAACACTTCATCAGACTTGGGCTCAATAATGTCCATTCACTCATAACATTAATTAAATAGTAAAATAACAAAAATACCGAACCCCAAGGAAAATTCAAAACTGAAAGCCCTTTATCAAATGGCAATTTTTTTTTAAATATAATCAAAAGTGCCCAAGAAAGAGACAGAATACACTAAAATTGACAATAAGTAAAAGTCGTATAAAAAACTGGCAGCAACATGAAGTATAAATTTGGTAATAAGTGAGATTCGGGGATGTCAGAATCGAGGAAAAGAGGAAAGTGGGTACGACAACTGTTGCATGCACTTTGTCAAATGCGAGAAAGTGATTCCATAATGGTCAATAAAATCACGATGCAGCATTTCTATTAATCCCAAAGGAAGAGGGAGGTTTCCGGTATCATGGGGGCAATACAAAATAATAAATCCAGTAAACAGACAATGCCATGGTCTAACTGAAACGAAATACGACAAAAAGACAAATGACAAGGTTGGGACAGACAAAAATAAAGATTTGTAAAATGTGCTTTCCTCCCAAAGAAAAATACCGGAATTAAGCACATTTATTCCGGAAGGCTTGGCTGCCGTTGTATTACTCTATAGGTTGCACTTTGTAAATACAGCTGTTTCACCAACCACGCTGTTTTGGGGAGATATATAATGGTCATAGATATTTTGTTTTGTTTACGTACTGGTTCCCAGATATGATCTCTATGTTTCATCTCATAGATACATTACTTGAGAATGTTACCAGTATAAATACACATGGATAGCGGTCAAATTGAACACAAGCAGTGGGATATCCAGTGAGCGAAAACAAAAGAAAATTCACTCTTCTTATGATAGAGTCGAGAAAGTCAATAATAAAACAATACCGGTGACGATACTGATCAAAAGTTATTTCAAAATAATAACTATACCCCCGCTTTAAAAAAGGGGTGTATACTGTTTTACCTCTGTCTGTCCATCCGTCCGTCAGGCCATCCATCCATCCGTCAGTCCATCCATCCATCCGTCAGTCCATCATAAGTCAGCTATACCGTGTGATGCGTTTTCAGATTCATCACTCAACAACTTCCTGTTTACCCTACACTTGTATCATTTTACACATGAAAGCCAAGTTGAAAATTTTCGTCACTTTTTTCTCAGGAACTACACTACAAGGATTTCTGAAATTTGGTTTCAGGGTTTATATAAGTCAGCAATACCGTGTGATGCGTTTTCAGATTCATCACTCAACAACTTCCTGTTTACCGTCAAGTATTTGGGCGGGGGTATCATCAGTGAGCAGTAGCTCACAGTTTCACTTGTTGTAGATTTTAAAGAAATTATTTGTTAAAATGTGTTATTAGAAATATACATGCAAATACACGATGTTTTATGTTCAGTATTTATCAAGATAATTGCTTTAGAAGCTTGTGAAACTGAAATTTAAAAAACTGCCAATCTTTGCTGCATATTGATAAAAAAAATTGGAAAACATCATGTACATACAAAATCGAAAGATCTTTCATTCACAAATTTTCTGAGTGTTCCAAAAAGCCCTTAGCATGTTACAATTCCCAAAACTATGCTTATTTTTATACATCTAAGTTATCGAGCACACCGGTCTGCTCTTGTCACATGTACATACAATAGAGAACTATTGTCTTTACGTGAATATAAACATTTAAAAGTCTGTCTGTGCTGGTTAAAAAATTAAAGATAACTATTTTTACAAGGTAGGTATCTTTCTACTATTTTGTATACAGTGTTAAGAAAAGGTTCTCTTGAGTTTTGTACAAGTATTTGCGGTCTTCTCGATCTATTCACATTCAATGTATTACATCGATATAAGGTCTGTTTGATTTTGCTTAGTAACTTAATTTCAAAAGTGCCAATCTTATTATGTTTATTAATCGATTCCTTTGGTATTTTTTTCCCTGACTTTCTCTAATCTAGCTGTATATATATATACGAAAAATTAGCATGTTCCAGACAGGTATACAGACATTAAAAAAATAAATTGGAGTTGCTACTCCAGGAATTTATTCGCATAGCATCATTTTAAACCAGTTTTACACCAAGCTTCTATAGCCTGCTGTACTCGTCGTTTGCAACTTAAGGAGGAAAATGATAACATTGAGTGGAAGTTTTGTTTTTATTTCAATTTATTTCTATTTTTACTATTTACCAGAACATTTTTCCGTTAATTCATAATTGATAGCGTCCTTGCTAAAATGGGAAAAACATTGAGAAGATCTGGTTTTCAGTGTTTACAGGGGAGGTAATATTTTGTCACTAAATTTCCCACTGCAAGTGGAAGGGAGGAGTTGTACAGAATTTAAGTATAAGCTTAGACGTTTGGCATATAAATGTTGAAAGTATGCATTACAGCCCTATGTTTTGATCTTTGGAAAAATAATAGTGCATATGAACTTTCCATTCTAGGATATAATTTTTTACGAAACTTCATAGTAAAAGTGCCACAGTTTTAGCCGTAAAAGGAGTTCCTTAAAGGGAAAATACATTGTCTATAATTACAAAAGTGCAACATATACAGGTAAAAATAAGTCGAACTCGGAATAATACAATCGAGAAAAAGGACCAAAATATGGTTATAACAAGTGGAACATATCCGTCGTCATCTGAAAAAAAGATTATCCATAAAAGTCAACCAAATAAAAAGTAAGATAACAAAAATACCGAACTCCAAGTAAAATTCAAAACGGAAAGTCCCTTATCATATGGCAAAATCAAAAGCTCAAACACAGCAAACGAATGAAAACAAATTTCATATTCCTGAATTGGTACAGGCATTTTCTTAAGTAGAAAATGGTAGATTAAACCTGATTTTATAGGTAGCTAGACATCTCACTTGTTTGACAGTCGCATACAATTCCATTGTATTGACAACAATATGTGAGCAAAACAAACAGATATGATAGGTAAATATAAAAAAATGAGGTACAGCAGTCAACATTGTGTTATAATTCTATAATCTTATAGAACCAATGCTATGTGTTATTGTGTAAAAATACCTACGGATAATCATCAATGTTTGCATAATCGAACTTATAAAACTGGGAACAAGTCGACTGAAAAAGCCTTTGAAATATTGGAAAAATGTTAAAAAGCCTTCGGTTGCAAAATTAACCTCGATAAAACAAAATGTGTTTTTTTTTAAAAGGGGAAAATAGAGCTATTACAAAAATAACTTAGATCAAGGCTTTCATAAAAGATTGAAGGGTGCACCATAGTTATAACAATGATATCAGGAGAATATGTGATACAAAATTGGCATGATAAAAAAAACTGTTTTCACGTATGAAAAGCAAGCAATTTTACAGAGATAAAGTAATGATCATTTAAAAACAACTTAGACTTATATTGTGATACCCTGTTGAAATGAGGAGTAATCATGCCATGAATGTGAAAGAGAAATAAACATTGATTCTGTGATTTCTTTTGGGGCTCAAAGGGGGAAACATTGTTGAAAAAAAAAAATGTGTGGATGAAAGCTTAGGGGGATCAAACTGATCAGTTTGGAATGTTTCATAAAAATAAATCATATAAAACTAGTTTATAGAATATAAGACAGTCCAACATAATGATTGAATGTAATTGCCAAATACTGGCTGAAACACTTTCACAAAAAATACTTTTTTATTTAACTGTAAATTTCTAAATTTGAATTTATATTATGCCCCCTTTACATACAGGCATTTTTCTAACGAGTCCTTACGGATCGCACAAATTCACGGATCATAACGATTTAGTAACTTTTAAGACCAATTTAAGAGTTGTTACAAGTATTGACGATTTATAAGGGGAAATTACGAGTTATTACGATGTATTTATTGCAAAATTACACGATTTTTTACAAGATGTCAATAACTACGAGCAACTTACAGGCATTTTACGAGCTTTTCACAGATTATTACGTGTATGTTACGGAATATAAACATTCATCGAAGCTGTACGCGTTAGTTACGACCTGTTAATGTGTTGTTATGAAATGTTATTAGTTAATTACCGGTACCTACATGTCCTTACGATTTTGCATGTTTTGTACGTTCCAAAAATCATAAACAATACTCAAGGATACGTAAATTATACCTATCTTTTCGTATATTACTCGTAACTAATCGTACAGTGCCCGTAATAACTCGAAACAATCCGTAAAGCCATCGTTAGAGGACCCAAAAGAAATTATAAGCTACATATAAACACTCGTAATAATCCGTAAATTCGGATGGTTACAAGTTATTGAGAGCGGTTTAAACTTACGATTGTTACGAGTTATTTACGGAAAAATCAATCCATGGAATACCGTAAAAAAATTTGCTTCTCCTTTCATGAATCCTAAAGAGTGTCTGCGAGTTCCAATGAGTTATTCCCGGATACCAGCGATATATTTACGGATGCATGCGATTTGTTACGAGTTGGCGATCCGTAAGGACTCGTTAGAAAAATTCGTGTGTGTAAAGGGGGCATCAGGTAGCTAAAAATTCTACCAAATATTGATTACTGTTATGAGCTTCATAATGGAATTACCGAACGTTCCAAAAATAGTACTCTTGAAGAGAAATTATTTGTAAGCAATAACACAAAATGGAAAGGAAACCTTTGTACTTCCCTATCAGTACCACATCGCCAAAATTGAAGATGTTTGGAATATCGAAACGGAAACCGTTTATAATAATCATTTGCAATCTCTCTAACAAATCTGAGAAATGTAAAATAAAAGCAAGGACCCCTATTTCAGCTGTCCTGGGCTATTTAGAATTGATGTATTCCAGGTGATTTGAAATAAAAGATGTTGTTCATGTGAGAAAAATTGCGAAAACTGATCTAACCGTATATTCGTACCTAACAATTTGCCTCTAAAGCTTTTTCCATTAGTGATTGAAAGTAATAAAGAAAAAAACTGTCAGTTAACTAAGGAAACTAAAATTACAACTTAACGAAAACTGTTAATAAACTCAAATTTCTGTTTCGTCATGACTATGTCGTGTAAACTATGCAGACTTAAAATTTAATGGCGAAGTACGTTAACCTACTACACTACAATTCAATTTTAAACACATGAGAATAGGATGCATGGCCAGACTGGTAGTTTGTCGAAATGAAATGTACAAATAATTTGAATTAATATACGTTTCTTGAAAAGAGCAACATTGCTGGATTTTTATGTATTTATTCAGCACTACCTGCACTTGAATCTCCTGTGGTACTATATGACGAGACTGTAGTCGTTTTCTCATCTGAAAACAAACAGTTTATTTGAATATTTTTAAGATATCGCTACATAAATAATATTTGGAAGACATGGTAAAATGAACATGCCTATTGAAATATGACAAAATGGTTATCATCATTTTGATACAAACGGAACTATTCTACATGTAATACGTGTAAATATCTTGTCGAGATTCCAGTCATTTTCCAAATATTTCTGTTTTAATAAAATATGTAATTGCAAAACATTTCGCGTGCATTAAATTTAGCTACATTTATATGGTAGAAGGCATATCTGTACAGCTATTAAATTATGTTATAATGTAAAAAGATATTTCATCAGACTTCAAGCAAAGTATGCGAACTTGCATTAGATCTCCTGTGTTGGAATTGCAGAAAATGGACTGCAAACTTCACTTTGATTATTTGTATTTCACATCAAATGACGTATTTGAAATATTTTAATTGTATTTGATCGAGTTTATCCAGTCTAGTTGAAATCAGTGTCTTTATGACATTCTGAACTAATGATAATTATTGAATTTGCCAGAAATTGATAAAAATTAAATTTCAGTAAAAAATGAATAACAGACCACCCCATGGACCCAAAAAGACGAAATAGCAATCAGCAGTCCATAAAAAAGTAAACAGAAAACTTATATCAAATTGAGCAACAGGGGCCAACAAATATCGGGTCTGATCTCGTGTTCCCTGGCAGAATATCATATCCTGCTCCATAACAGTAAGAGATCAGTCACATTCGGAAATACGTCACATTCGGTTATATCATGGTAGAAAATATGTAGATGAGATGTTGGTGACGACAATTGGAACACATCTCTGGTCATCTGGGACACACATATTTCAAAACTGTCAATCAAACCACAATGCAACATTTACAGTAGAAAGTAGAAAGATAAAGAAGTTTCTAGTATCAATGCAAGGTGGACAATGAAAAACACATACAATGATCTAAGAGAAAATTGACGAAAGGAAAAACAACAATAACAAACGCTACTCAGAACGCTACCGATCAAGTAGCTCGTATCCAACCCCCTAGCCCCCACCAAAAAAAAATCCAAAAAAGAACGCATGCACTCCGGCAGGGTAGTCAGCTTCTGACCCACTGATCCATCCATTGATGCAGTAACTTTCTATCAATGAAATCAAGGTAGAAAAAACAACCCCTGGAATATTGTACCAACTTGGAGATATATACTGGGATGTTCCTACACACAAAGAAAAGTTCGCCATGGGACAATGAAACCAATTCTTTTGACGTAAAATTACGTTCCTAAACGGCCACATCATCAACTTCTTAATGTAAATCAAGATATGATGCAGACTTAAATGTATCTTGGGTATCTATATTTCGAGTGCATTGGGATAGATTCATAATCACCAAATTTTGAATAATTATGTGAAATGATATCTTCTATTTTGCTGGACGTGAATGAAGTAGCTGATGCCAGGTTTTTGTCACTTTTCTTGTAAAGGGTAGTGAACCGATGTTCAAATCTCGTAAATCGATTTAGAGAGACAAGTCATTAATGTTAACGGTACCATGTAAATAAACTCGTCATAGATACCTTGATGAAAATATTGTACGCCAAACGCGCGTTTCGTCTACAAAAGACTCACCAGTCACGCTCAAACCAAAAAAGTAAAAAAAGACCAAAAAAGTACGGAGATGACCATTGAGGACCAAAAATTCCTGGATAGAAAATCCTTAGTATTTCGAAAAAATTCTAAAGTTTTTTAATTACTTAAGTTACATTCATGTTTTACACTAATCATTTTGGGGTCCTTTATTGCTTGCTTATATATAATTGTTTACTTTTTACACTTTGTGATTTGGATGGAGAGTTGTCTCATTGGCACTCATACCACATCTTTTTATTTACAACACTGAAGTGCAGACAACTACTAACTGCAACAGATGTTCATTTAACAATTAAAAACTCTTCAGAGATATTCGAGGCCAAAATACTTGAAAATCCAAAGCATAATACAAACGATAAAGCGTTAATAAAAAATATGTGACATAAGGTAAAGTCACATCCGGTCAAGGAATCAGCGCTTTACCCGAGGGAGATATAGTCCAAAATTTAAAACGATTTTCAAAATGTATAACAGCAAACGTCAATCAAGCATTAGCAATAATCACTACAAAAGTCAAAAAGTCTGAAAAGACCAGTTTTTGTCTGAATTTGCATGAATTTTTACTCGACATTCTTAATTTGTCTGAATAATTTTTAAAAATTCTTGACATAGTATGAATTTGTCTAATAAGGTTCTTGATTTTTCTTGACAAGTGTCTTGACAGTATGAACATTGTCTTAAAATTTCTCGACACTTCCTGTATCATCTGATAAGAGTCTGGATTAGTCTCGACCAATTCTTGACTGTCTTAAATTTGTCTCGATCTGTCTTGACATATTCTTGACATTCCTAATAATGTCTGAATATGTCTCGACATATTCTTGACATTCTAAATAATGTCTGAATATGTCTCGACACATTCTTGACAGTCTTAAATATGTCTTGACACTATCTCAACAGTATAAATTTCGCCTGAAATGTGAACAGACTTATTCTGCACTGTTTATGACATTCTATTGCTGTTATATAATCCTTTTTATTATGGCTAAACTAAACTTTGAAGAATCAAGGATTAATTTGGTATATATAGTAAGATACCCTTTTGGTGCAACTAGGTTGTAATACCCTGAATAATCCCCCATGTAGTTTAATTTTGATTTATTTTTATTAAACATTTAAGTAATTGTTTTCACTTGGAATATAAGTAGAAGGTATTGACAAACAACATTTAGATTTTTGCCGTTCGCAAAACTGCCAGTCAGTCAAATTTGCTTTACTAAAATAGGTGTCTTGTATCTCTTTTGGACCCCACAATTCATCTTTTGGGTTTGTGTAGCTAAAAAAAGAAGGGGGGGGGGGGGGGGGGGGGGGGGGGGGGGGTTTCGTTTAGGTCAAAGAATTTGTTCCAATCTTGATTCAAAAACCTTATTCATTTTTTAGAACAACCCAAAAACATTTTTCATTCAAATTTGAGTGTTGAATTTTATAATTTTTTTATCAAAAATAAATATTAATAAATAATAAAAAAAACTCCTTCCTGAAAAGAAAACAATGTTTAGATCTATATTATGCATGTCTTTTTGAGAACCATTTCTATAGAAATCATTGATGGGACCCATTATAAATACATTTTTTTTATTATTCCTGGAGTAGATAATAATTTTCTTTTAATCTTTGGGAATTATTCAATTTGTTTTTATGTTAAAATAATTAACTTCATAATTTTGATGAGGAAAATCCATTTCAATTCAATTTTTTTTTCATCAAAATGATGATTTTCATTTTCATCTATCAACAAACTTTTTAAATTGTAGTGGCATGGTCGGTCAACTGATAAGTTGTATGGCTGATTACAGGTAAAGCAATAACTTCTATTTGACAGTTGCGTGTACTCTGGGGTGTGGAATACCTTAATTTTATGGGGAACATCCTGTCCATGTGTAATACTTAATATATTCCAACAGATGACATTACACAAATTTTTCTTCTGTTAAATGAATGATTTGTATATCATCATAATTTGCTATTTATATAAACCACATTTTGGTATAATAATTATTTACCATATCAACATTGAATATTATGAATGTAGAATGAAATATGTCTACAGTATGATTGGTTTGAATCATTTAATTATAAGATTTAGGAATCAAAATTTGTAATTATTTAAAAACCCACATTGAAATTGTTTTATATCAACACAACCACATTTGAATTTTTTTATACTTTAGATTTCATAGCCATATTTGCATTTGTAAAAATATTTATATACCCAAATTTTCAATTATTTTACATGCCCAACTTTTATTTTTGTTGTAAAGAAGTGTAACTTGAAACAACAGTATATCATATAAAGAGAAATAAAGATTAAAGTTATATCATGAATATTGGTCATAATTTGTAAAACTCAGAACTGTCAAGTAAATTTACTTTAAATTAAAATGATTTAAAATGTTCAGAATATGTCAAGCCATACTGAGAAAAAATAAGAATGTCGAGAATATGTCGAGAAATTTCAAGACAGTATTCAAATGTCAAGAATTTGTCAAGAAATTTTAAGACCATATTCAGAATGTCGAAAATATGTCGAGTAAATTTCATACAAATTTAATATAAATGAGAATTTGTCAAGAAAAATTAAGACACAAGTCATACTTTTGGAGAATGTCGAGTAAAAGTTCATGCAAATTAAGACAAAAACTGGTCTTTTCAGACTTTTAGACTTTTGTAGTGAATATGCATGCGTGTACCAAAGTACTGGCTACTGGGTTTGTGATACTCTCGGGAAATAAAAAATCTACCTACAGAAGCACCAATTGTACTATATTAAATGCAAGGGAACGCACCAAGGGAATCGAATGAACACCAAAAGGAGCAAACTTTGAAGCGTTCTATGGACTTCAACGGTCTTGCAATGTTTATAAGATTTTGAATATGAATGTTAAATAGCAGATACAACAAAATCTTTATATCGGGGAAATGGTTTCAATTCCGTTTTACGTTTTTACAGTGTTAAAATATACCATACATACAGGTTCACACATAACACATTGAGTTGATCCATAGATGTACGACCGTTTTGTCCGGATCGGACAAATAAGTATCCTATATAAAGTAGAACAATATGAAGTAAAAACAAATGTTTTAAGTCAGTGAGCGGTTAATCCGTTCTACCGTGATAAAATGTACCGAAAATTAAAAAAAATATATACATTCAAACCAGTGAGGTGCGAAATTTTGGTTAACGGTGAAGACCTTACTGTGATATTAAAAAGGACAGCAATAAAAACACCCATTCTTTGCTGTCGGTTTTGTTAAGTATACATATAGTGATTTTGCATTATGAACTAATACACTATATCCTTTTATTTTCCATAAGATAAAACATGAAGTATATATTACTTTCATTGACATTTCGATAATACAAAAATACGTGAAATGTATTGATACATTGAATCGAATAGGTTAAAGGAAGTAATACAATAAAGTTAGCATAACAAAGTAATCTCGCGGTCAGGTTTGCTAATTCTTTTGAATTTAATTTTGATGGTTCATCAATGTCCGCTAAAGTTTTAAGATTGTATCAGCACGCAACGGGTATTAAGTCTACATCATACATCTACATACAGCGTTAACACTGCAACGCGATGCAAGGGGGTAAATGGTCTTTCCTAAGCATTATTGGTTTAAATGCTAATTATTTTGGAAAGAATAACTAATCGCGTATTCGTTGGTTTAATTGAGCGATCCTAGATTATCTACTTGGAAAATATCTACGCAATTATGCACAATCGTCTCACGAATGATACTATATGTACTTAATTAAGAACAGAATAATCCAATCAATAATTTCATTAACACCTTGTCAGTATATGATTACAAAATACATTTTATAATTGTAAAGAAAACACATTTACAAAGGCGTGATGATAAAAGTCACTACTGATGATTGTAACTAAACAATTTACTGATAATCACCACAGAGTTTTTTTTCTTTTTACGAATTATTAACATGTAAATTGTTCCAGGGGAGAGTCGGTTTTGCAACTTTTTGACTAACAGTACTGTAGACAAAAATATTCGCTTTGATGGTACCAGTTTCGTGGAATGATTATGACAATTTTAGCCCAATCTGAAGCCATATGCAAGCTGTAGTTTTAACCGGAAGATTGGTCTTTTCAAAAAATGAATTTTAAAAAGAATTTTAACAGGAAACGAATTTGAAGAGATTATTTTGGTAGTCGATATTTTGGTTTTACCGAGCGATACTCGAGTATTCGAATACTCAATACTTGTTGACAGCCCTTCTTATTACCGATTGTTGAAGCCTTCATCTTTATAATGGACTACGTTAAATGGTCCAATTGTGAGTTGGTTTCTATCTAATTTTTTTATCTTTGGGGTAACCCATAATTGGAATAACATTTCGTCAGTTTCAATTTTATTTCAAGGTTACATGAGTTATTTAAATGAAAAGATCATTAAAATCAAAACTTTACATTAAAATGGCATTTCATCGATACAATTTTCGATTTCATATAATAGGTCTGCTTTATTGTTCTGTAGATAAATATATTTGATAAAATAGAAATTGTTCGCAAGAGACCATTCTTGCGTTTAAGCAAATCCCGGTAATGTACACTACCGGCGCCTATTTGAACACATGTAAAAAAAGTGTCGATAAAATATTGAACAATACTACTGACCTGTACATAGATATGTGATTAATATCTTCTTTTTGAAAGTAAAACATTCATAATTGTAATTCCAAATTAGTGACGTTAAATCAAACTTGCAGTTGCTGTACAAATACGTTGTTCTGCAAACATGAGCTAAGTTCGGTACAATTTCATTTTCCATACCAATGCACTCCTTTCCATTATTTGAATTTGTAAAAGATGGGTACAATGTTACATCTAAACTTTCATTTTGCAAGTAAAATGTCGCACATTTCTCTATTTCGTTTTGTTGATAGATGTTTAAACACGTTTGATTGAATGCTTTATCCTCTGAAATGAATATACAATGCTTTATTTATTGAACATATAATACAGTTTTGTGTTTTTTCCTTACGATCATTATACGTAGAAATAAAAATGAAAACAACACGTTAAACATTTATTGCGTCCGAAGGGCTTTTGTGGATTTGCCTTCATCCGGAACGCTCAAATCCAAATATTATTTAACCAAGGATGTAAAAAAACCAAAACAGTTGATGAGCTATATGACCAAAAAGGACCTTAAAAAATAGCTAACTTCATTTAAGGTCAACTTTGTCTGAGGGAGTTTAAAACTTGGTTTCTTATATTTTCTAAATTTATCAAAGGGCAATTTTAGAAAGGTTTGTTATAAATCATGTCAGTACCGAAGTACTGACTATTGAGCTGATGAGCTGATAGAGGAATATAAAGCTTACAACTTGACAATCGTATCAGGCATTTTGTTTTATATTTATCAGAAAATGACGTTAAATGTATCAATATCGCCTCTTCTTTTATGCCATATTATTTCTTTTTGTAGCTCCCTTTCGGGCATTTATTTGCTTTTTCAAATTCAGGAAAATGTGCTTTAATGAGTGTTTGATTAAGGGGTTTGACTTGAGTTAGTGTATGTTATTGTTAAGAGCCCCCACCCGAATTTATGTTTTGATAATGCATTGTGTATACATTTTATATAAATGTATATGGACATATTATAGTTTTTCATATAACATGTTGTTTTATTTCTGCATTTTTTACTAGTCCAATGAGTTTGAGTCAGACAGTGCAATAAAAACTTCTGAGATAGAAGTTAATCTACTGGTTTAGGCTCGGCCCCTTCGTTAACAAAACGATGCCAGATGAAAATGATTTTGTGAGAATTTAAAAATATGATATCTGTATTTCAATTCTTTGAAATAAGGGACCTGATACTCTACTTTCGGTTTAGAATAGTATATTGCGGTGTCATCTGATAGCTTACTTTTCACTAATTCCAATTATATTTGGTTTTTATGCCAATTCCTTTAGAATGAGGAAGTTTCTTCCGGATATAAAACGCTACGTCCTTTGTCGTATAAGAGCTTTCAATACACAGAAAATATATTTTCCTATATACATATTTTTTGGGTAATGAAGATAATTGCTACGTCCGGTTTCAACCGATAGTTTACTTCACACTGATTCTAAAAATGAATGGTTGCTTTGTACTTTACATGAAATGCGAATTAAAATGGCTACTTGTAATTTCACAAAGTCACTTCCAGTTGAAATTTTTCAGGGCTATTTGTCTTTCTACCTAACGCAAATGACCTTATGGCTGATGATCCAGTATGACGTTTTCGCAAATGTGAAAATCTAGAACGTCAAATTAACATTTGATCGAACCTCAATTTCAAGGTTAAAGTAATGGATCTCAAATCGTTAGACCTTAGGTCTGTACAATGTATGTTTAAGAGCGTGTCTTACCAAACATCTTATGTTTTATATTCTAGGAGATAAAAGTCCTATACAAATTCACCACAGCACTATGACCTAAAAAAAATTGTGATGCGTCGTGCCTCAACTTACAATTTACCAGATACCATATACCGATAACTTTAACGGTTTCTTTGGAGTTGCAATAACAAGTATAGTTTTAAATTTGAAACATGACCATGACTTTTCTGGTTGTCACTGTGGACCAAGGACCTCATACCAAAAGCCATTATGACTGTATGACTTGTAGTAAATGAGGAACATCAACATATCACTCACGTCATAAACAAAAGGACATACATATTTTGTCATGATACCTGAACGATTAGGTTCAAATTCATTGTACAACAGACCATCCTTAGGAAGTAAAGAACATATTGAGAAAAGCTTTCAAATAGAAGTAATAATAAGAAAAACGGGGATAAAAATCCCCTTTAGGAAGTACTAGTATTTTGTTAAAGAGAGTTTGTTTATAAAGCGCAAAAACTGTTCAATATCAGATACCAAACATATTTTCGACATGTTGCGAAATAAAAACGGCGGAAAGTAAGCTATAAAACAAACAAGTGTTCAGTTAACAATTCAAGGTACCAATGATCTCAAATCTTCCTTTTTTAATTTGAATACAAAATAGTAACTCTAGCGTAAATGAAAATGTCTAGTGTCGGAAGATATCTTATCTGAATCTGATTTTAAAAAAATCGTAGTTTATAATACCTTTTTTACTTAAGGAAGATCTCTAGAGAATAACCGATTTTCTGTTAACTTCAAGTCTCTTCTGATGGTTTATTATAGCTTATTTTTCACGTATTCCTAAAATATATGATTTCTTTTAACTTTTTGATTGAAATAAAAGAGAAAATTTATAAAAAAAAATGTGATTTCCGGTTACATTAATTTGTTAAGTTACTTTATAGATATGATTATAGGTGCGTTTGCAGGAAATTAGTGCAAACTTGATACTTTCAGTTTACAAAAGGTCACTTTCGCATGCCTTTTTCGAAGTCTCATGTTTCTTTACTAAAGACAACATCCACATTCATGGTTTATCATGTACCAGTATAATGTTAAAGCAAAGGATAATATCTATAACGTGAAATTGTTCTTTTATCTTGATCCCAATTCTGATGTCGTAAAGTACGAAACTCAAATCAAAAGACCGTAGATCTCTCAAGTGAATGATTAATTAGTTAAATTAGTCAAATCAAAAGACCGTAGATCTCTCAAGTGAATAATTAATTAGTTAAATTAGTCAAATCAAAAGACCGTAGATCTCTCAAGTGAATGATTAATTAGTTAAATCACCAATATAACCTTTAAATATTTCAGTAAAGAAAACTCCATTTGAATGTGAACGTACCCCTTCAATAAAAAAATTTCACTTACGATATATCGCAGGTTACAATTTAGTTAAACATTTTTCGTAGATATCTAAAGCGGTTTTGAAACGTATACATTACAAGGAAACGCAAAAAAATCGGAACATAACCTTGACCTGTGACATAGATCTTATATTTGTTTTGTGAACAAAAGACCTCACATAAAAGACCCTGCAGCCTTTTTCACAAAAAAAAACTTAAGAGTAAAATACTCGTAAGTCATACACATTTCAGTATAACTTACGATCAATTTTTAATCATAAGTTTAATTGTGAAAAGAGTCATTTGGTATCTTTCACTTAATGTATATTAGACCTTTCCAACTAAAATTTGAATACATTGTTATGAAAAGGAGTTTGAAAAAAGTACCTTTCGATTTAAAAAGTCACTTCCGATTTTTATTTAAAATATCATGAAGAAAGGGCTGTAAATTAAGACCTCAGGTCTCTGATGTTTGAGGTAAATGAGTTGTATCACCATACTTATTATTTAGACTTTCCGAGGGAGGTAACCCCTATTTAATGCCACCATAATCTTTCGACCAGCATATTTTCAGTTACATTTCGCAAATAATAATTTAGTAAACATTTTCGTGGATATTTAATAAGGCTTCTGACGAGTGAAAATCGCAAGCTAAACGTGAGATTGACCCTTAACCCTGACACCATAATGTTTTGGTAGAACTAGAAAAAAATATGAACGGATCGGACGGATACATATATAATGAAATTCGTTTGTGAAACGAACTCCGAAGTATTAACATGCGATAAACTCGGACCTCTATGAAAACACCTTTACTAGATATTATGTAATCAACTATGTGGCAATAACATATTAAAAAATATATAAATTACTATCATTTTTTTTTTATTTCATTAAAGGTTCTTTTATTTTTCTGCTAAACAAATTACATAATTGCAGAATAATGAAATGCTCAGAATGTTTCAATAATTCTGAAAAGAGATGAAATGCTATCATTTGAAATACGTACCTTATTTAGCAAACATGCATTTTGATACCACTCGATGAGTTAGTGTTCATGTAAATAATATAACAGTGAAGATACTTAAAGCTTTGTTTGTGATGTACCAAGAACAAACAGTTAACATAATTTTGAAAAGGCTTAGGGAGCAACCATTTAACTTCAAAAGGGGGAAAAGGGGGGGGGGGGGGGGAGGGGGGGATGATGTTTTTTTGTCTGAGTCATTTTTTTTTTTAGTTTTTAAACGCTATCAATCAAATTATTTTTTTCAAAATTTAACACTATAAGGTATGGGGGAAATCTGGATTCAGTATATATTTTTTTGGCATCTGCTTGACCACAATATTTTTTTTTCATCAAATTGGGGAATAGAATATTTTTTTTTAGGAAAAACAATAACCCCCCCCCCCCCCCCCTCCTAGTTCCCTTAGCCACTGTTCGGATATACGGTTACCGTAGTGATTAACGACCTTGACTATCCATTTGACACTCGCAAAGTTGGTTCAGATCGGTACTAAGCATTAACAATACGTATCTGTGAGTGAGTGCAGTTACTAAAAGCTAGTTCATATATAAACTAAAAAATAAGAACACCTCTTGGTGTAAAGATATCAATGCAGTTTAAAATTCGTTAAGAACTTACAAACTTTACAAAAATAAATAACGTGAATGTAGAAATTTGTTTTGTTAATTGTATGGATAAACATGGTCCTTAATATGATATAGTTTGGAATTATCATATGGCTTTATCATAAATATTCCTTACCAATGCAAGAACCCTGTGACAGGGAAATATCATCGAATGAAATACTGCCACGTTGTTTCAAATAACCTTCAATGACAATGATATCATTATATGCTATATCAATAGAAACCGTCTTTTCCTTCCATTTATCTCCTGAATCGCCATAGATAGATAGGATGTTTCTGAACTTGACATCAGACGTCGTGTATAACGTAAGATTATTCCAAGTGTTACCAATCATATAATACCAGAAAGTTAAGCATATAGGTCCTGTTAATTCAATCGGCTCACTCTCTAATCGCCCTGTACCAGAACTTTCAGATTCAAGATGAAAAAAGGATCCTTTTGCTGAAATAAATCAATCCGTTTTCAAACTGTCAACTCATACACATCTCCCTGTTTCTTACTCATTTATTTCTTTGTTTAATTTTATTTTAGATAACAAATTGTAATTCTATTCCCTTTTTATGTCAATTGTTGTCTAATTCAGGATAGTAACACAGTTTACATATCTTTTTTCCTACTGAACATTTGTATTTGTCTTTTTATCGACTTTCTGTACCCAATAAAGGTCAAAGTAAAACATTTTTTTATATAAAATTCAAAATTTGGAATTTTCATCAAACATAGAACAAATAATGTCTTTCTGACAAGGCCCGATTTGGTGATGTTACATTTTACAAAATCTACCCGAATTGTTTTGTAATATAATCCTCTCAGATCGGTGCTAGGGTCGTCTTAAACTTGCAGTGAGGTGAGCGTTTTTTTTTTTGGTTCCGTGTTGAAGGCCTCACTGTGACTTTGAGATGACCAAAAGCAATAAAAGCACTGTTCCTTTGCTTTTTGTTTGTTTTTTGCTGTGCATGTACTGATTTTGTGTCATTGATGGATATCGTTTTTCTATAATAATAATCATATATAAAAATTCATATTAAAGACAAGACAGTTGAAATCATTAATAAAAGAAAGAATGTATTTTTTCTTAAATGTTGACCTAGGAAGAACCAACTTACATGCAATTGTCCATATTAATACTTAAATGATAATACAAGTACATGCATATAAAATTTTTTTTTTTTTTTTTTTTTTTTTAACACTCAAATTGATACTTTATTGCACAACTTGCTGTTAACAATAACACTTGATGTACAGCATTCCATCAAGTATCCCTGTTAATAGTGCCACCGAATATCCAGGGAGAATATTCAGTAGAATTAACAAAAAAAAATTCTATCAATATCTAAATAAATAAATTGCTATTACAAATAGTTGTTTTAAATAGTCTACTACAAAATATGTTAATTTTTTCTATATAAAATACTATATATTCATGTAACATTACACACGTTATCACAAAAGTTCGTCAATATATTACGGAATTTATCACTATTTATTTCGGAATGAGTTTTTGTATACTATCTTAAATGTTCCAGAAACTAAATGCGGTCACTGGTCGATGACCTCGCACGTTTTTTGTGCTTCAAGTTGGGATTTACACAATTCTGCAATGTTTTGTAATTTGGAATAAAAATACGAAAAGGTGAGATGTTTTAATTATATGTTTTTATCTGTTATAAATCAAATGATTTGAAATAAATGTGTTATTTATTTGACCTACATAACGTTATGAACAATTGAACATGATCCCGTGTCGTGACCTTAAAATACCTATCAGCTATTTTGTAAACATACACATACTTGAATTTTCTGAAGTCATATTCGTACTACACACACACAGACAGATTCAAACATCCAAGATACACACACAAAACTCCTTCATAGTTGCATGTTTTATACATTTTAAGCATCACATTTGAAATTATATGCAGATAGGCTATAAAATATTAATTGCCTCAAATTTTCAAGAATAACATCAAATTCTGTACACTTAGTTACTATATCTGCCCAGTAACATGGTATTAGTTATATTGTTCTTTATTTTTACCCCTTTTTCTTTATTTCTTAGCCAATTATTTTGAAGCAAATAAAGTATCCACACCCATATATACATACTTGTACAATGTAGACACACACACCAACACACACACCAACACACACACACACACACCAAGTACAGATCTTTTCATATATATATTATAAGTAGATTATAAGTACTTGTATACCTTAACATTTTAGGTATCAGGTGCATTTATAAGCACATTGACAGCATATTGATGTTACAAAATACTTTATGCTACATGTATATTTTCACATTTCTATAACATTACCTTAGTTTTTTCTCAAAATGTTATACACTTTTGTTAATAAACAATTTATCTTCATGTTTACCAAACTATATAATTCTACTATATTATTTATTTCATATTTAAATATTTTCATTGTATCTACCCATTTAGATTTTTTATTCGAAACATAGTGTGCCTTATAGACTGAAAAGAACATTAAACTAAGCAAATGATTAAGTGCAAAGTAAGCTTTATCATTAATTTTGTATCCTATGACAAGAGAACGGAGACTTATAACATGTTCTTCCATGCCAACTCTTTTGAGTAAATCTTTCATTGATTTCCAAAATATTTTATGATATTGACATGTAATGAAGAAATGGTTATAGTTATCTAGTTCATTGCAATAAGTACATAGGTCATTTTGTGCAATTTTCCACTGGAAAAGCAGCTGTTCATTTGGTAAAATAAAATGCATTAATTTCCATCTGAACATTTTTATTTTATTATCTTTTAGATGAATTTAATAGAGTCTTTAAATTCATTTTTGAGACTTCCATTACCAAAGAGTCTTTCCCATTTAGCAAATCCAATTGGCGTTTCTGTTATAAATTGACCTTGCACTATTTTATATATGTCTTTATTATTGATAGTAAGGATATCAGTATTGTCTCGAAATTTGATTCTAGTTCGGTTAATATGAACATTAGTTTTGAATGATTCTTCTGATTTTAATATGTTGACTCATCGTTTTGGTATGGAATTTTTAATTTTTAAGATTTCTGCAATCCAATTACTTTTTTTTTCAATTTTGAAATAATTTTTTCTTCTGATATCTTCCCCCTTTTATCGATTATGTCATTAATATATAATATATCGCTGTCAATCCAGTTATCAAAGAACAAACATTTTCCTTGAAATTTTATAAATCTATTTCCCCATATTATTTGTTTTCTAATATCTAAATAATTCTCAATTTGATCATGATTAATATTGTTACAATTGTTAACATTTATCCATGTTTTTATCATCTCTTGATAGAAAATTGGTGTTTCGTTCCATGTTTTTTTATCTAGCATTTTTATTTTATTCAAATTTATCTTGAAAATAAGTAAGATTTTGCCAAATTTATTGAGGTATAGCTTTGGTAATACAGCCCAATTTGCATTCCCTGATTGTATTATTTTCATAATCCATTTTATATGTATTGATTTTATATAAGACTCGATATCAATCACATATAAACCCCCCTCTGAAAATTTTTTAGTAATTATTGACCTTTTTATTTTATCTTTTCCTCCATTCCAAATAAATTTATATATTAAATTATTAATATTTTGTAGTTTATCTTTACTTATGATACTATTAGTTGCAATGTAAGTTATATTTGGTAGCAAAAGAGCTTTTACGATTAATATTTTTCCCAATTGGGTTAATCTTCGTTTTGACCATCTATCTACAAGTTTCGCTATTTTATCCATGACTTTTTCCATATTCAGTGTGTCACATTCTTTTCTGTCATAACCAAAGTAAATACCTAAGCTTTTAATTGGTTTATTTGTCCAATTTATATTTTCATATTTATCTTTTGAACTTTTTAATTTTCCTAACCATATCCCCTCTGTTTTATTTCTATTTAGTTTTAATCCTGAAAAGCTGCCAAATGTTTCAATTATACTAAGAGCCAGACTTATTTCTTTTCGTGACTGAAAAAAAAGAGTTGTGTCATCAGCTAATTGACAAATTTTTAAATTACATGATTTTCCATCTAATTTTATTGTTATTCCTTTAAAATCTTTATTACTTCTTAGCCTTATTGCCATTAATTCTACTGTTATGACAAAAAGAAGAGCAGAAATCGGACACCCTTGTCGTATACCACGATATATTTTAAACGGACCTGAAACCCACCCATTATTTAAAATACAGCCTTTAATGCCATTATACATAGTTTCCACCCATCTGATAAAGCCATTTTTAAATCCAAACTTTTTTAGCGTTTCTGTCATAAATGTCCATTCCAAAGAGTCAAAAGCTTTACTAAAATCCAAAAAAAGTATTGCTCCTTCTATATTAAATTTTTCAGAGTAATCTATAATGTCTTGTATTTGTCTAATATTAAAACCTATGTATCTATTGTTGACATATCCAGTTTGATCTAGACTAATTATAGAAGGAAGAACATTTTTCAGTCTCTGTGCCAACACATAAGCTAGTAATTTCGTATCAATATTCAATAATGTTATAGGACGGTAATTATTTAATGAAAAAGGGTCATTCTTTTTAAAAATAAGCGAAATAGCACCTTTCTTTTGAGAATTTGTTAATTCTTTTTTTTCAAAATTATTATTGAAAACCTTGACCATAATATTCTTTAGACTACCCCAAAATTGTCTATAAAATTCTACTGTCAGCCCATCCAGACCAGGGGATTTATTTAATTTCATTTTAAATATTGCATCTGTACATTCAGTTTCTGTTACATTCCCTTCACATTGAATACTATCCGAGTCTTTTAGTTTTTTTGGTATTTCTGTTTCTTTAATATACATTTTAACATCATTATCATTAGGATTAGTTGACTCGTAAAGCTTTTTGTAGTATTTCACTTGTAAATTTAGAATTTTATCTTGGTCAGTTGTCGTAGATCCATTTTCATCATATAATTCAGTTATGATCTTTTTTGTTTAACGACTTTTTTCTAGTCCCAAGAAGTATGCACTATTTTTTCCCCCTTCTTCAAACCATTTTACCCTTGACCTAATTTTTTGCCCTTTAATTTTATCTTTATACAAACCCTCTAACTTATTTTCAACCTTCTCAATTTCTATTTTTAAGTTTTGACTTTTATCAATACCATTATCTATTTCATTATTAAGATTATTCAGTTGTTTTTCTAGAATATTAATTTCATCCTTTTTTAATTTAGCTTTAATTTTACAGTAGTCTAAACTTGCATCCCTTACTTCTATTTTCAAGTTATCCCATAGTATCCCCAGATCATTGCAGTTGAATGAATCTTTTTCATATTTAGATATCAACTTTTTGATTAAAATTGTGTAATCTTCATTATTTAAAACACTTGAATTTAATTTCCAATAGCCTCGTCCCTTATTTCCTCTGTCAGTATTAATTTTTAATGATACCGCATTATGATCAGTT